CAAAAAGCTTGGTTGCTCATTTTCTTGGCTCTCCATCTGGAACTTCGAATAAAAAAATGGAACCGGGTTATAATCAAACATTATATGACAAATGTGTAAGTGAGTAAATAAAAATCATACTTATTTTTTAATCAAGTTCCTCATGAGATTTGAAAATAAAGGAGGCAACACAGCAGAACCATGCAATTGAACATATTCGCCCATGTCGATAACCGTATCAACATCATCAGCACTCAACTCGGTTTCCTTGAACCAATAGCTTGCTAGAGCAAAGTTGTAATGGTCAGGAGACCAGTACAAGGAAAATTTTCCTTCTGCATCCTCTGAATCAGATGATCGAAGGAACCAAGGTTCTTTTTTGAGTTGTGAAACAACTTTAAAGAACTTCTCTTTAAAGTTCTTAGAAGAATCAGAATAAACATTAAAGAGCTTTCACAAAGGGGCACCACGAAGAGTGACCCAACCCTTCCTCTCTAGTGGCTCGCGGCTAGTATGAGGTGTAATGGCCTGGAAAAAGAAAGAGAAGACAGAAACGGTGCAAGGTAAGCACAAAAGCGTTCAAACGCTTTGACAAAACCCCATCCGTTGGGGTGAAGTTGAGAAGGGGCTATATGAAGATGATTCAAAATGCAAATTTGAAACTCGATTAAGGGAAATTGAATGCCGAGTTGAGTCACTAGGTCTCGGTGGAAAAAGAAAAAGGAAGGTTCATCTGAGTTCCTCCCCGAACAAACCGGTTCGTCTTCTCGAGGAGGAACTATGTCATAATTTTCCAACTTTCCTACACTGAGCCTAGACACGTCCTCCACGCTCATCTTGAAGGTAGTACTCAAAACTTCATAAGTTACCTAGAGAAACCGGGCTATTAAGGCGGTAGGAGGAGACTCAGATTCCGACTCAGCAGAACGAGACTCCTTTACAATCTCTGATGGAGATGATGCCATAAATACCTAAAACCAGGAGAAGCATAATCAGAAGAAGTGAATAGACATACCGAAATCAAAAAAGCTACTAGTAAAAGAATCACTAGTGGATGAAGATGTGGATTTCTCCAAGATCAATCAGGTTATCTTCCTCATCAGAAGCCGAGGTAGATCCCAGAACATCTCCATTACGATAACTCGCCAAGGCAGACTCGACTAGAGAGTCCCACCCTTTCTCAATGAGTTTAGAACTCAGAAAGACACAAGAATAACATGGGCCAACTTGCTTAGGCTTGGAGGGTTTGAGAAGAACACGTGAAGTGGACGATACATCAGAACTCATATTACAAGCGACATTAGAGGGGTTTAACTCGATTTGGGGAAAATACTGGGGAATACGTCTATTCTTAAAAGGACGACCTCTACCTCGTATGGAAGAAGTCAGAATATAGGCATAAAGAAGTCATAAGAATTCGGGTATTCTCTGAAGAAATTCGGATAAATGCAAATATTTCACCCAGGCAATCCGGACACCCAAACTGCCTGGCTGAGGGGCAACTTTATGGACTCATATATTAGGCCCATTAATTGACAAGCCCAACAAGGGGCAATCCAAGATATTAATCAAATATATCTATGGAAGGATATTCGTCAAGATATCAATCCTAATACGACATGACATATGGGCTGGGGCCGTCTTCAGAGGCACTAAAGGTCCAGAATCCACTACCCACAGGTAAACTCTATAAATAAGAGGTAAAACCTACAGTTACATTACGCTCTCTCTTACTGTTATGTTGTCACTATGCGCACACACACACCCCTTTGGCAAAGCCGTTTATAGTTTCTTTGTGCACAGTGATCTGTTTGACTCAAGGGTATCTCATTCATAGTACCTTGGAGAGGGCACTTAAATCCAATATTAACACACTAATCCATTGGGGTAGACATCTCTGTCTCAAAGACAGAACAACAAGATATAATAGATCAAATCTAATATGATAAAATCATGCCATAGGCTGCTTGATCCAATTACAAGGCTACTTTGAGCTATACGACTATGGTATATCGAAGTAGTTTGATAAAATTATGAGTAAATACCCTTTTTGGTCCTCAGCAAATTTCACGATGCCCATTTTAGTCCCTAGCAAATAAAAAGGCCTATCGTGGTCCTTAAGAAATTCAAAATAGACCCATTTAGTTGAAATCGTGGTCCCTCACAAATTTAAAAATGATCCATATTAGTCCCAAAAAAGACTAAAATGAGTCTATTTTGAATTTCTTAGGAATCACGATGGACCTTTTTATTTGTTAGAGACTAAAGCGGGTATCGTAAAATTTGCTAAGGATCAAAAATGATATTTACTCTAAAATTATTGCTAGGGCATTATTTTTCTCTTACAATAATGGATGGATCTAATTTTCCTGTTGATACAAATTCATAAAAAAGTTAGCACAACTTTCTAAAAGTCAACAGGAACAATTTTCTTTCTCCAACAACGGGAGAATTAGATTTCCCTTAGGGTGTGTTTGGTACAAGAGAAATTTTTTGGTGACCGGGAATCATGATTAATGGGAATTCAGTAGAAATTGAGTTTACTTGGAATCTTACGAAAGATGTGTTTGGTTCGCCAAAATATTACCGGGAATATTGGGTAAAGATTACTGATTCCATATTTGGTTTAGAACGAAATATGACTTGGAATATGAGGTTATTTTACAAAAATAACCTCAAACTATTTTTACTTTTGTAATTGATAGATTGGGTCTAGATTTTTATGTGTATTGGGGTATTTTTGTCTCAAAATTTATTGTTGTGCTTTCCCTTTACTTGGTATTCTGATTGGTATTCCGAATTACCATATTATTTTTGGTAATCTGAATAGTGACTTTTTTTTATAAATCAAATTACCGGTAATCCTTGGATATCCGGGAATCGTAATTTATTCCTTCTACCAAACGTGGTAATTACATTTACCAAAGAAGAATTACCGGTAATCCTCTCCAAAAACTTGAACCAAACACCCCCTTATTGCTATATGAGTTTAGAGGTATATGATTTCATAAACTTCGTCCCTACTTATGCTTTCTCCTTTTTTAAATGAAAAATTATATTCTTATGTTGTATGAGATTCATCTTTTATATTATATTCAAATAAAAAAATGTGTCTTTAAAAAAAAAAACAGAATTGAAAAACCTCACTTTATTTATCTCATAATATAATATAATTTATTTTCTACTACCTAAGAAAAATAAATTCTTTCTACATTCGTTTTGTATTTTTGCAGTTGTCAATGCCGTGCATCCGATAAATAAAATATCTTTGGGATGGTTTCAAAATGTTGGCAGAATGATGAGTTAAATAAGTGAATGAAATAGTAATATGGAAATGTCACATCAAACTGCAACTACAAAGGGTTATCTATGTTTGAAGTTTTTGAAAATGTTCTTTACACATTGAAATACCTACCCCGTACGTCACACCAAACAAAATTTCCGTTAAAGAAATCAAACAAGAATTAAAATATTTTATAGTAAAAAACAATAAGCAAATAATTTATCATAATAAAAGAGTCGTACACATGTGGAATGTCCACATGTCTAATTAATTTGGTTCGAAGACGGTTGACTGACTCATATTGGTGTGACTCTTAATTTCAATATTATTTTATTTCTTAATGGAAGAATAAATTATTTGTCATTTAAACCAATGAATATTGTCACTGTCACTCATTATATTTTATATATTAGATGGCATAATTAGCAACATAATAAATAAATTAGAGGGAAAATGTCATTTATACATTTGTGATTTTACAATGAAAATTTTAAAAATAAAAAGTTCTGTCGAGTATCTTTTGTCCCCAGCAACTATAATAGACAAATTATTACCTTGAACGAGAATATCGAGAGCTTTGGTCCCCAAATAAATATTTGAAACAAATTAAAATGTGGCTAATGTCCATAGTAATATTAACAAAGTAAGAAATAATCAACCGATGGAACCTATTCGCATGCTATGATTTTCACGTCGTCCATGCATCCATTATGTTAACCATTAATCTTATATATAGAGGGCCTTGCTTTGTGATGATAACAAATGAAAAAAATACATAGATCGACTACGTCCACTGGTTGAGAACTTGAAGTCAGAGGATAATCAAGGCCATTTGACGTACACAAGGCGTAGAAGTAATCCTTATTTCCCTTCACTCTTTTTGTTCATTAGTATACTTATGAAATTGAAGTTATTATGGTAATTATGTATTCTTTTTTAACAAAACAGTAACTTCTTGTATCGTTAAATATTTATTCATAACAAATAACGTGTTAGATATGTAAAATTAAAACTTTATACAATACCACTTAATATGTGCCACATATAATACACGAGTCATTATTTTCTTTAACCATACATTAAAAAATAAATAAATAAATACACCGAATATCTTTAGTTTAAGATAGTTAAGACATGAGCATATCTTTAGCTTATAATACACCGAATAGAAAAAAAATGTATCTAAATTTATTTTATTGAAGTTGCATGTAAACTATAATATTATATAAATTTAGTTTAAATATGAAATAACGGAGAGTCAAATAAATTTATGAAATTATTATATGTAAATTAATTCATAAAGTGTTCATTTTTATATGTATATAATATAACTCCATACCTAAGACTATTGGTTAAGCTTAAGCAACCTTTTTTTTTTTTGGATACAATGGTGGCACTGAAATTTTAACCTATGACCTCATGCAAACTATCAAAATTCCTCGTCACTGAACCAATTCTAAATAGCTTAGCTTAAACAACTCACCAGCTAATCCACATATTTTGTTATGATTATTAGTTTATTTAACACAATTTACATACTCTTAACATACAAGAAACCCTCTAGTCTAGTATGTTAATATAGAAGTATTGTCTTAAAACTTCACATTCAATAAAACTTTAATAACTCATCAAGATTTACTCTGTAACAAATGGCTAGAGTACTGGTTGCTCTCTTTATGATCATTGAATTAAAATGTCCCCTTGTGTTTGAATGAAGGCGATACAGAAGCTTGAAACCATGGCAGTCCCCAAAACCAACCTTCAAGGGAAGATGAAGCAGCCTAATCACAGAACACCAGCAACAAAGCCTCCATTCACAGTTAACCAACTTAAGAAAACCATCCCACCCCATTGCTTCAATCGCTCCCTCCTTCGCTCTATTTCCCACCTTGTCTTTGATCTCACACTAGCCTTCCTCTTCTTCAAAACCACCACTTATTTCCACTACCTACCTTACCCTCTTTGCTTCATTGCATGGCCTATTTATTGGGTTTTCCAAGGTTGCATTTCCACTGGTATTTGGGTAATAGCACATGAGTGTGGTCACCATGCCTTTAGTGATTACCAATTAGTAGATGACATGTTTGGTTTCATTCTCCACTCAGCACTTTATGTTCCATACTTCTCATGGAAGCACAGTCACAGAAGACACCACTCCAACACATGTTCTCTAGAACATGATGAAGCTTTTATCCCAAAACCAAAGTCAGAAGTTCAATGGTATCTCAAATACTTGAACAACCCACCAGGAAGAACACTTACTCTTCTTGCCACTCTCACTCTAGGGTGGCCCTTGTACTTGGCTTTCAATGCTTCAGGCCAACCCTATGATCGTTTCACAAGCCATTTTGACCCTTATAGCCCCATTTTCTCCAAGAGTGAAAGGTTGCAAGTTTATGCTTCAGATGCTGGAATTCTTGCTGTGACTTATGTGCTCTATCACATTGCTTTGTCAAAAGGGCTAGCATGGCTTGTTTGTGTTTATGGGGTTCCCTTGCTTATTGTAAATGGCTTTCTTATCTTAATCACATACCTGAATCACACACATATTGCAGTGCCACACTATGACTCAACAGAGTGGGATTGGCTCAGGGGAGCCTTGTCAACAGTGGATAGAGATTATGGAGTGCTGAATAAGGTTTTCCATAATATAACCAATACCCATGTAGCACACCATCTCTTCTCTACTATACCTCATTACCATGCAATGGAGGCAACTAAAGCACTGAAACCTGTTTTGGGTGATTACTACCATTATGATGGTACACCTTTCTATAAGGCACTGTGGAGGGAGGCAAAAGAGTGCATTTATGTGGAGCCAGAGGAGGATACCTCAGTTAAAGGTGTTTACTGGTACAGGAACAAGTTTTGATGAAGAAATGTATTTTCTAGTATATATGATAACATGTTACCAAGTATTTTAATGGTTTTATAAGTCTTGAATATCTAAGGTCAGTGTTTATTTAAGCTTAAGCTAATCAAAGTATGGAGCATATGTTTGCTTAGTTCTGTTCAGAACCTTGTACAAAGAAGCTTAGTAGAAGCAATGTAATAAAAGGAGGAAACAGATGTTTCCCTGTTTATTTTAGCTACTTCTACCATACAATTTGGTACTCTATATAGGATTTGGATACACTGATTGTTAAAAATAAAGGTACTAAGTATAATTTTTTCCTAAAAAAAATTATCTTTCTTTGATATGACCAATGTTGTCAAAATTAAATTTTTATGTAAAAAAGGAAAGGAATGATAGAGAACCCAGAAAAGATTTTTTATGTCCGCACATTTAGTGACGGGGATCACGGGCAGCGCTCCCAAATTTTTTTTTTAAAGAAAATTTCAAATGCATTAAAAAACAAAAAATATAAATATAAAAAAAACTTCAACTTAACATAAAAAATTATTCCCAACACCTTTTTTTTTAATCAAGCTGATTTGTTGTATGACATCATAAAATATCCAATAAAATATATGTCATCCCATTGTATTCCATTCATTTCCATTCCATCCCTCATTATATATACAAGCAAAATCTAATCTAACCAACATCATATTTGACTACTATACTTAAAAAAAAAAATAAAAAAAAATCAGAAATTCATGTCCACAAGTGCGGACATAAGCGACCAACTAGGTCCGCCTCTGATAGAGACGTAAATCGTAAAAATGACACAAAATGAAGGGAGAGGAGAAGGGCAATGTTTTGCTGTGTGTGTGGCTGAATCTTAGCCGAATAAAACCGATAATGAGTGTGATGAAGAAGATAACTCCATGATGGAGGAGTCATGTATTTATAGCGTTAGGTGCAATTATGCACAAAAAAAAAAAAAGGTGAAACCTAAAATAAATAAAGTATATTTTGTACCCATTTGAGCCGGCAAAAATTTCGTACTACTGTTAATTTGCAAAAGTATCTCCATGCTGAAACACATTTGTAAAAATTGATGAGAGTAGAGCAGTCAAACACGTAGGGTGGACTGACGAGACTAGTCCCGCCACTTACAACGACGAGATCAACAGCCACATAGGATCAACTCACGTGTCTGCATGTATCCCGCCACCTGCTCTGGCTATTTCAGTCCCGCCATATCAGTTGGCGAGACAAACACTGTCATCCGCCACGTGCCTTGACGTCTCTCATTCATTTGCATCTTATCCGCTCACTTCTGCGCACCCCTTCAAACCGTCTTCTTCTGCTCTCTTACCCGGTTCCTCCATTTTCGTAACTCGGTTGTGGAGCAATTGTGGGAAACAAATTTTCGTTGGCCAAATTTCCTTCTCCAGTCCGTTGGCACCTCAACCGGAGCAAAGTGTGCATGTTTCCATCTTTTCCCCTTCCCCGTTTAGTACTCTCTAGACCACAGGTAGAGTGTTGCTTATATTACCTTGATTTTTTTATATCTGTGTAGTATTATTTTTTAGGGGTTATGGTGTTGTGTATCTGCATTAATTATAGGTGGATCTAGTTTTTTTTTTTCAGGGACAACAGGTTTGGTGGTTTTTTTTTTCGGGGACCACTTTTTGGTGTTGCATGTGGTATTTTTTTTGCATGTGTTTTTTAATTAATGAATGTTGCATGTGGTGTATTCATTTGGAGAGATACATGTGTTCTGAAATTGTTTTGATAATTAAGACAAAAACAGGGTGGTATGAAAGGAAACCGATGTAGCCCCAACAAATTAAAAATAAAATAAAATGAAATGGTTGTTTTAGTAATTAGTAAAAAAAATTTAATTAGTAAAAACTGGATCATTTGTTTTGCCTAATTAATAAATTAATTACTAATATTAAGCAAATTATGTAATTAGTAGTATTGTTGTAATGTTATTAATTCCCTTTTCAAATATTTTGCATTAATGAGGAAAAATATTTTTGGAAACCTTAGGCATCAAAAAATTATTCCTAACATAATTAGTAATCAATGTAATTTGGCTTTTGGAAAACAGTAATTAATGTAATAATTATGTAGTAATTTTAATTAGTGTTTTAATTAATAGTAATCATATTTAAATTTATAATGCTTTATAATCCATGTTAGGAAACTAAGTTTTTAACATTGAAAATTATAAACATGAATCTGAAATAGTAATTTTGATTTAATATATTTATAATCATTACAATTTTTATTTATGGGAATCGTAATAATTGTTTGAATAAATATATAATTGCAGTTTACATGTTAATAAATAAAACCTTCAAAAAAAATATATTAAGTTAAATTAATAACAACTAAAAAAGTAATTAAATAGTCATTACAATTTATTGAATTAGTTAAATACATGCAATTAAATCCTTTATACAAAATTATTTATTAACATTACAATGTTCCAGTCATTTAATTACTGTATATTTGCCAAAATTAATAACTTCGACAATATATAGTAGTAAATACATTGTAATTATTTCCGATATGTTGTTGTAATTATATTTGCAGTCATATTTTATTAAATAGTAATTGTAATAGTAGCTTAATTATGTAGTCCCTATATTTATTGATAAATTTTGCAAATTGTTGTTAGTTAAATGGCTAGTCATCAACCTCGCATTGACCCCGGTCCGAAAGAGTAGGGTGTATTGGATGAAGATGTGCAGCAATGTTACAGATCGCAGGTGGTGTGGAATGAGGGACATTTAAAGTCTCTGAGAGTTAGACGAGCCTCAGAGGGTAGGGGAATTAGGGATGTGCATAACCCAGATGACATCCCCCAAGACCTGCAGCAGCATTTGATGCGTGCAGGTTTTTGGCATGCGGCTCGCATGAGAAGATTACCGGTATGTTTCAGTTATGAATTTTATTTTGTTTATTACAAGTTACCAATAATAACAACCTTTATATTTTTTTACTTAAATGATTGTTGGCAGATTGACCATAGGCTGATTACTGCACTGGTTGAGAGGTGGCGGCCAGAGACTCACACATTTCACATGCCTGTTGGAGAGATGACTGTCACTTTACAGGATGTTGAGGCCATTTTAGGTTTACGCACTGAGGGTCGGGTGGTTTCTGGCTACACCCATGGGAACTGGGCGGACGTAATCACGCAGTACATGGGAATATCTCCACTTGCAGCTGATTTACAACATGGGAACCTTAAGATGGGTTGGTTGACTCAACATTGGGGTCAATGGGCTGCGCATTCAGCTACACACGAGGGACAAATTAGGTACACTCGTGCCTATCTTATGCGTCTCTTCAGAGGTTTTTTGCTGTGTGACAAGTCAAGTTCAGTAGTCGCTTGTCGGTACATTCAATTATTAGATGGGGACTTTGAGGATACCAGTATGTACAGTTGGGGATCTGCGGTACTCGCAGTACTTTTTCGTGAACTATGTCAGGCAACATCTTCAGGGGCCAATGATATTGGGGGATGTACGTTGTTGTTGCAGATATGGGCGTGGAGCAGATTTCCTACCATAGCACCGCTTATTCCCCTACCAAGTGACCCAGCCGATCACTATGGACGACGGTACACTATAACATTTGTTTTCACCATCATTTTAATTTTTTTTGTATCATTTGCCTATCATTCATTTGTGTGGTTTGTTGTATTATGTTTTGTAGGTTTAACAATGTCGTATCGCGGCGACACCAATTTCACCTGAAGGATTATCGGATTGAGCTTGATCAAATGGGAAGAAACACGGTACGAATGATTAATTTTGTTGGTTTTTATTTGCATCCTATTATATCGTGTTCTGTGGCTTACAAATATTTGCTTCTTATAGGTTGTGTGGGAGCCATATAAGGAGGTTGGCTATGAGTTTCTCGGGGCAAATCCTCACATGCAGAACTTGTGGAGGGCTGTTACACCTGTACTCGCCTTCCACATTGTCGAGATGCACCAGCCTGACCGTTGCATGCGGCAATTTGGCATGCATCAACACATCCCTAGACCTGCTGGTCGGTTGAGAGGTGCACATGATCTTACGTTACGTGGTAAGATCACTGAAAATTGGGAAGCGAAGATGGCCCCCCACATACATTTATGGAACACTAGACATGAGCGTATTGAGACAGGCGAAGCATAGGAGGGTATCATGTCCCCAAACTCTGAGTACATGACCTGGTACTTCAGTCACACTCGACGGTTCATGACAAGGCAGGTCGCAAAGTTAGGCCATGTTGTACGTATTGTTGTTGTTCTTGCAATCGTAGTTTCGTAATTTTGATTAATGGTATTGTGTAGTCATGTTAAATTTAATAAATTACTATGTTTCGTGACACAGGTTGATGGAGTAGAGTGGATATGGTGGATGCAAACTCCCCAGATGAGTGCTCAGCGCGATGAACGTCAGGTGCAAGAGGTGTGTGAGCAGTTACTGCGTGTAGAGGGAGAATTCAGCCGTGTTGCAGAGCCTGGCCCAATTGCACCATCCGGGCTATTAGCTGAGGTACCTGATCCAGAGATAACTTGTCCATTCATGACACACGGTCCATGTTGAATATGGTAAACTGACCCTGGAGAAAAATTCAACATGTGTGCGAACCATCTTGGCAAGAACGCGTATGACTCGTCCCAATCTCCGTAAATCTTAGCAATTGCTTTCTGTTTTCCATCCACGCCTTCCTGTAAGAAACATTATATCCAAAAAGGGCAGTAACCCGTTCTTGTATCAAGATAACGGCCACCGACGGCGAAGCCTTCACCATGTCTGCATACAGATATAGAGCACATTTGTAATTAGTAATAATATCTGCCTTCACATAATAAACTCATAAATTGTCGCAGTACGAAAACTTCAACAATGTATAGTACCTAGAATGGCCTCAGATATAAAATGTGAATCAAGTTGTTTGTGATCTTAAGAAAGGGTTGTGCTGACACAAGAATGTTTTCTAACCCATTTACTGACTACCCAACTGTTGGTATTCTTCGGTTTAATTGTCCTTACTCGCCAATTGCAGCCTTCTTCATGCTTATGGCATTTCATAGACAACTTCGTGGTAGTACTTTCAACCACTACAGCTTCTTGATGCTCATTCATGCAGTAATGTTTTATAGCAGCTTGAACATCGCTCTTCGACCAGAACTCTTGTTTCACATACATTTCGTCTCCTCTTGTCCACGGACCACGACCTAAGCCTTCAACATCCAGTATGTCTTCGTTCGGATAATCAAAATTAACAGCCTCATAGTGTGAGATGTCATCCCAAAATGGTGTCATATCTACAAAAAAATAAAAAAATAGATTTGGCAAATATTAAAGCGATTATATAAAAAATTAATCATACAAGACGTTCAATGGCTAACCTGATGATGGTGGAATAACCGCATTATTGGACGTAGGGATAACAGTCTCCTGTTTTATGGGATTATCATGATGTTCATCATCACCTCCATCACTATCATTCTGATCATAGTCATTTTCCAGTAGAGTGTCTTCATCTTCCTCCTCCTCTTCATTGTCAGGTTCAACATCTACCATATAGTCGCTTTCATCTCCACTTGCAATAGTTGATTGTGTGGGCTGGGGTACCGATGATGACGGCATTTGTGTCTGACTGTTAAGGTCCAACCCACGTGTCGGTATTGACATGTCGTCTGATGTCTCAATATCGACATATAACTCAACAAATTGAGACGTAGTAGAGTTTTGGACAAATGTTCCAAGAAAAATGTCAATGTCCTCATCATCAGTTATTTCAAAACCTGCATATTTCCGATTTCCACATGGGACTCGACCCGTGACTGAAGAAATTACCTGATTTTGTTGCAACTTCAACTTCTGACGAATCTTCTGAAGTAGATCTTCAATGGACAAGCCTCGGACAATATACATTGCTCTTTTTTCCCCTTCGAATCTCAACCCGCCTACACTGTTAATTTTAGAACCATTATAATATACAAAAGACCGATATTGTTCCATTGTACTGTGTATTTATGCAAATAACACAAAAGGAGATCAGATAAAAGTAGAGATTAAAAAAAAGTAAATAAAAAACATTAAATACGCATTACAGCAACTCATACAAAAAAAATTACGACATTACAGCAAGGTGATACAACAAAAATTTTAACATTACAAGCAAAACAACTGATACAAACAAAATTACTAGAAGTAAAGAACCCGTCAGTCAAAATCATATACAAAAATAGCAAACATCCCGAACTTTCAAAATGTCCCATACTAAGTAACACCGGAAGACCCTATATATAACCAGGCAGATATTTCCGTAAGTGTCAGTGGCGAGATTAATTTTGTAGTGTACGGGACGCTACCCCACGAGTATTGCGTGGGGAATGTAGAAGGACAATGTAAACCGTCACCCAATGTGGCGGGAGTAGGTACACGTGGCTAGAACGCGTCACATTACCTGGCGGAGGTTTTGTACACGTGGCTTAGTCTCGCAAACTGATATGGCGGGACTCAAATGAGTCAGAGCAGGTGGCGGGATTCATGCAGACACGTGAGTTGGATCCTATGTGGCTGCTGATCTCGTCGTTGTATGTGGCGGGACTGGTCACGTCAGTCAACCCTACATGTTTGACTGCTCTACTCTCATCAATCTTTACAGATGTGTTTCAGCGTGGAGATACTTTTGCAAATTAACAGTAGTACGAAATTTTTGCCCATTTGAACCCTACAAATTCAAAAACTTTATTTAAGTGACCCAAGTGATGAGATTGAACAATGAGAGAAGTGGAGGCCAAAGTAGGCCTTACACCCTAAAGATATTCTCTACTAAAAACTAAACACACACTCTCATCATTCTCTCTTCCTTTACGTGAACACCCTATTTTATCCGAGTACATTTTTTGTCTTGTTAAAAAAACAAAAATAAAATAAGATAAAAGAGTAGTCTGTAGTCACTATTACAAACCCATTTTGGCTGATTTTATCTTCCATTTTGTCAAAATTTGCGGCCCTTTTAAGATCCCCTTGATATCAGATGATAAAAAAAAGAGCATGCTAAGATCAAATGTAAAAGATTTCTTAAAAAATACGTTCCCTATAGAAAGTTCATATGCAGAATTGACTCTTTGATATAACCTCAAATGCATGCGCAAAGACTACATATACTCTGCAGAATAAGAAATTCTCCTACAGACAGTTCAGGCTTGGCAGCACATGGCAAGACGTCTCTACTAAGTAACATGCTCCACATGATGACAAATTTGGAAGACATGCTCCGTCGTGATAACAAAATTTTCTGGGATTCCTTTAATAGGAATGGACGGTGTGCATATAAAAGAAGAGTAATACAGACACCAAGGGGGGACGACTTCAGCCATGAGGTAGACAAAGAAAGAGTGTAAGATTAAGGAAGAAAAATACGAGGGAGGATATTCTTACTACCCAAATTTTCTACTACTAACTTACTATCTATCTAATCACCATTGAATCAAAGAGAGAATGCTAAAAAGTTTTTTAAAAAAGAGAAAATGTTGATCCAATGGTGATTTGATAGGTAGTGAGTTGGTAGTAGAAAATTTTGGTAGTAAGAATATCCCTCCTCGAAACATATAGTAACAGAGACAAGAAAAAGCAAGAAACTTGAGAAGTCTCTAAAGACACAACACATGTGATACAAACCCTTGATCCCGTGAATATGTAATTGCACTCCTATGTTTTTTGAGTTGTTTAGTTGGGTAGTTACTTTCCATTATGTTTTTACTGTTTCTGATTCAGTTGAAATTTTTATTTAAAGACCAATTAAGAATGTAAAGACATCAGAAAATTGCACCATTTAATTTATTTTTTCCTTTCCTCAAGCTTATCCTTTTTGCTAAAAAGGAACCTAACATAATGAAAGGAGAGGAAATTTGTAACTTCTAAAACCTGGTTCTCACTCTTGCCAAAGAGATACCCCATAACAAACCATCATCCTACCATTGTTGCTGCACCACTGATAGGAGTCGATCATCAGGATATTTTTCACCTAGTTCGTGGCCAAGCCAACTATCATCCTTGTCTAACTTGCACACAATTATACTCGATCTACTTCGTTTACTAGATAAAGACCGTAAGCTTCTCATTTTTTTTATTTTTATATTATATATCGTTCTCATTCTCATTATAAAACACTGACCCACTGCTTCTTTTTTTTTTTTTTGAAAGGATCACACTGACCCACTGCTTGGAGAGCATTTTTGATTAGACGGTCGTACAGCATTTTCGGTGCGACAATAGGATTATAACTATATACTCCGAACAGTATATAGTTACACAAAATAATATTTCTGCAGTTATTGCATATAAGTTATCTGCATTTATTCTTAAAACGATGTCATTTTGGAATTGAAAAATTAAATAATTATAATTATAAAAAGAAAGAGGAAAGAAGGTGAATAAAAAGAGATCTCTGAGCTTGCTGAAGTAAAAAGAAAAAGAAAAAAAGAGAGGCAAAAGTAAAAATTGTGAAGGTGATCAATAAAAAAGAGAACGAAGTTATACAAAAGGAAGGAGAGAGTCGGTAGTTTCCCTTTGTCTTGTTTAGGCAAAAAAATATCAAAAAAAGGTAATGAGGATTAGTTAGACACTAAGGGTCAGCTTAATTAGCCAAGTGACCAGAAAAACAAAGATCCTAGTCCTGCCTCATTACAAGCCTTAAAGACCCTTTGATGGAGGTAGCATATTGGACTTCAAGTTTCTAAATGGTGGTGTAGGTTGGAAGCATTGATGCATGATGATAATGAGTGAACTTCCTTAAAAAAAAAAAAAGAGTGTGATTGATTAAATATGTCTGGAAAGGAATTCAGTGGAATGTCAATGGAATCAGTTTAAGTTAAGGGTTGCAACTGTTTGAGTGTGCATGAATTTTTTATTGAATGCTTCTATAATTGCTGATTGACTGGAGTTGGATAATTAATTTGATGTAGGAATTGGTTAACATTAAGCCTGGTCAATGCTTTAAGAAGTGTTATGTTTTGCATAGATGGTTGATAAATTTAACTAAATTATTAAAATTAAAAATTTGTTGTTATGTGACTATTTATTTCGAGCTAACAGACTACTTCCTGAGTGAATGTTTGTCTGATTGCATGAGGGCAAGCAATTGCCTAAGTTTAGGGAAATTTTTAGCACTAAATTATTTATATAATTATTGTTTTATTTTATATTATTTTAAATCTTTTTGGGTTGACAATTACAGGAAAATGGGCTGAAAGAATATGAAATATGGCCCAATTCAAAAAAGGAAGTAACCAAGCCCAAGTTAATTTATTTTTGCTGATAATTGTAATTATTCATTTTTTTAGGTATTTTTTGGAAGCAACCACGTGGATGAACTTGTTAAGCTGGAGATGAAAGCTATTTTGGACAGTGGATTAGTATGGACGAAGGAGGACCATAGATTAGGATTGTGATTGTTAAGTTTAGTTTTAAAAAAGAAACTCAAAACTTTTGAACGTGGGTAATCGTGTTTTCAATTCGTCATAGTTTTAGTTTTCTGAATACAAAAATACTTGTGTGAAACTCTACAAGATTCAAAAATTTCAAAGCACTAACAATGCTGCGGAAGGAAGAATCAAGGGTGCATGCAAGTGAAGTTCAAAGATCCTAGCCTTAGTTTAGGAATCGGTACCTTGGTTTGAATGATTAACTTTGATTTTTATTTCTGAATGCATGTTTCTTTTTCTTTAATCTCTGAATTGTTGTTTCTGAAAATGGGTTTCTAAATCCTTTCTTTTTCTGGGTATTCAAAATGATTGGGTGAAATTCTTTGATGCGCATTGTTATTGTTTCTTTCATCCTCATTCGTTTGGTACTTTTATCTTTTTAACTCAAAAAATCCATGGGAATGGGACTTGACTATTTAAACAAAAGAAAATTGGGAAATGGACTTTTGTTAAGTGTTAAATGAACCCTTTTGGTTAGGAATAATTGTAAGTGTTTTCTGATAAAAATTTCTATAAAGAATCAGGAAACATTGGAAAAAGAATTTCTTGAATCTTATTGTTGAACCTGGAAAGCTTTAGCTAAACTTGCCATAGTAACTCAGAAATTGAGATATAGATGCTATAGCAATGTGCGATTTTGCAGGAATGCAAAGATTTTCTATCACCCATGATTTGAGATATACCCAGAAGCCCTTAATTTTGACAAACCATTTCTTTACTTTTTAGATCAGTTTTAATAATTGATAAAAACTATAAAAAAATTTCTTGTTATAAAAACAATTAAGTTTCAATCAAGAATTCTTATTTCAAACAAATACAAAGAAAAATAATTCAACCTGTTCCTTGAGAACGATAACTCTATCTTCGGAAAATTACTACCAACAAAATGGCGCCGTTTCTGGGGAGAGGTGTTTGATTTTATTTTCTTTTTGTGATTCTGTTTTAGAATTCTTAAATTTTTTGCTTTTCTTCTTTTCTTTTTCACATATTTTTCTTGTTATCTGCTAACTCCAATTTCAAGTTCCTGATAGATTCTTGCAGAATTCAATTCTAATTACAGCAACCAGCAGTATTACACATATTTGTTGCTGAATTCTTGAAGATGGTAGGATCGAACCATGGATCTGTTAATGGAGAAAACTTCAATAGCAATGGGAATGGCAACCATGCTCAAGTTATGGTGGATGAAGAGCTTCCCATTGCTGAAAATGCTATTCCATCATTCGATGGGGTGATTCTTGGCATAGTCTAGCCAGGACTGGAAAGGAATTTTGATCTCAAACCACAAATGATACAGCTGCTGCAATCCATGACTTAATATCATGGATTGCCCAAGGAAGACCCCCACAAGCACATCACAAAATTCATGAAAATTTCCGATACTTCTGCTGTTCATGGAGTATCCACAGAAGATATGAGGCTGGGGATGTTCTCTTTTTCTCTAACTGGGGCAGCAGAAGAATGGATCAAAGATCTGCCTGCGCAGTCCATCACCACGTGGAAGGAGCTTGGGGAAGCCTTCCTTATGTAGTTTTCCCCACCCACAAAGGTGTGTGATTTAAGGGATGACATCACAGGGTTTAGATAGTATGTTGATGAGTCAATCCCTGAGAGCTGGACTAGGTTTAAGAGGTTGATCAGAAGGTGTCCTACACATGGTCTTCCTAAGTGGGCCACCATTCAAATTTTCTATAGAGGATTGAGTCACCAAGGCAAAACTCATTTGGATTCTACTGCCAATGGAGCATTTTTGTTGAAAAGGTATCCACAGGCTTTTGAGACACTTGAGATAATAAGCCAGAACAGTTGCCAATGGCCTAAACAGAGAGATGAAGCTCCAAAGAAGGAAACTGGACTTTATGAGGTGAGTGAAGCCACTTCCATGGCAGCTGAGATGGCAGAACTGCATAACACTGTCCAGGTTTTAGTCAAGCAAATGGTTGAAACCAAACAGCAACCACCTGCCCAAGTAGCTGTAGCCACACCAATATTCTCACTTTGTTACGGTTCCCATTTGTTTGAGGAGTGCCCAAGCAGCCCCTCTTCAGCCGTCTATGTTGGTGACTACAACAGAAACTACAATAATAAAGGGAATTACAACCAAGGTAGATGGAAGCAACAAGGTGGAAATTTTGGCCAGAATCAGGGCCAAAATTACCATCGAAATGTTGGAAATAGAAATCAACACCAGTCTTTCCAAGGGGGGCAGCAATCTTATCAGTAAAAAGTTCCTTTTCCACCTAGTTTTAACTCACGAAATCCTCAAGATCAGCAAAGGCAATCTAATGCAGAAACTCAACCTCTTCCAAATGACCAGTGGGCAAATCGAATGCTGCAAAATCATGAGGCCATGCTTCGAAGTCATTGAGAAATTTTAAAGAGCTTAGAGACACAAATGGGGCAGATTGCAATGCAAAGATTTTTTATCATCCATGATTTGAGATATACCCAGAAGCCCTTAATTTTGACAAACCTTTTCTTTACTTTTCAGATCTGTTTTAATAATTGATAAAAACTATAAAAAAATTTCTTGTTATAAAAATAATTAAGTTTCAATTCAAGAATTCTTATTTCAAACAAATACAAAGAAAAATAATTCAACCTGTTCCCTGAGAATGATAACTCTATCTTCGGAAAATTACTACCAACACTATTGCAGTATACTCTTAATCTCATGGACATTCTTATATTGGATATTATGTTTTTGTTTTTAATAATTATCCTAAATACTAAATAAAAAAGGAAAAAATGTTGTTTACCAAAAAATAAAAACAAAAAAACATTATTATTTTAAAGGGCACAATTTTATATCATTTCAAGTGAAACCTTCGTGCTTTGGTATTTATTTTTTATATTTTTCCTCCTCCATAATATTATGATGAGAGAAAAGGAGAATATTGTAAAGAAGACAGAATAAAAAAAATCAATATATATATATAGGGAAAAACTATTCTCATGCCACATGAGATAAGTTTTTCCTCCTACACACCCTTTGATAACTGTGCCACCTTTTTTTTTCCAAGTGGTGGAGTCCACAGATTTGTCTCTATAACATGAGATAACTTATCTCCTTTAACATGAGATTAATAAAACCTATGTATATATATATATATATATATATATATATATAGTTGCGTTGAGATAACTTTATCTATATATATATATATATATATATATATATATATATATATATATAGGTTGTGCATAAGGTTGACATGACAACCATTCTGTTCCCTGACACTGTTTATGAAAAGAAAAATTCTTTTCTATTTTTGTACCTTGGAACAGTTTCTGAGAAAAATATGTTTTATTTTTATTCCGAGAATGAGAATTGTGTTTGATAATACAATAAATAATAGAATCAAAAATCATTCCTATTAAGCATAAAAAAATTTCAGATCATCACTTTCCTTTTCATATGGTGTGGTGGTGGTGGTGGTGGTGGCGGCGGCAACGGTGTTTGTAATAGTGCCGCCGTGGTGGTGGTGGTGGTGGAGATGATGGTATGGTGGTGGCAGCGGTGGCAATAGTATGGCATGGTAGCGGCGAAGGTGGTAGTAGTGGTGGTGGTGACGGTAGTGGCTACGGCGATGGTGATAGTAATGGTGGCGGTGACATAGAGATGGCAGTGGTGACAGCAGTGGCCGCAGCGATGGTGGTGATAATGGTGGCGAAGGTGGTGGTGATGGTGATGACATGGTGGTGGCGGTGGCAATGGTATAGTGGTGGTAACAGTGGCATTGTGGCGGCGGCGACGTCGGTAGTGGTGGTGGTGACGATAGTGGCTGCAACAATGGTGATGATTATGACATGGTGGCGGCGGCGGTGGCGGCGACGACGATGGTCATGGTGGTGGTGGTGACAGTAGTGGCTGCGACGATGATGATGGTGATGACATGGTGGAGGCGGTAATGGCGATGATGGTAGTAGTGGTGGCGTCGTGGTGATAGTAGTAGTGGCTACAATGATGGTGGTGGTGGTTGGTGATGGTTGTAGTGATAATGGTGGTGATGGTGATAGTAGTGGTGGTGGTGGTGATGATGGTCATGGTGGTTGTGACGTAGAGGTGGCGGTGGTGACAGCAGTGGCCGCAGTGATGGTGGTGATAATGGTGGCGATAGTGGTGGTGGTGATGGTGATGACATTATGGTGGCGGTGGCAATGGTGTAGTGGTGGTAACGGTGGCATAGTGGCGGCAGAAACAACAGTAATGGTGGTGGTGGTGGTGACGGCAGTGGCTGCGACAATGTTGATGATGATGACGTGGTGGTGGCGTCGGTGGCGGCAACGGTAGTGGTGGTGGTGGTGGTGACAGCAGTGACTGCAACAATGATGATGGTGATGACATGGTGGCAGCTAGAGGTGGCAATTTGGGTTGAACACGACGGGCAACCCGCCAACCCGCCAAAACGGGGTGGGTTGGGTTATACTTTTCCACCCACCAACCCACCTCAACCCGTCCCGCTTAGTTGTGGGTCAAAACGGGTTGGCGATGGGTCGTGGAGGGTTGGCCTGCGGGTCATTTTTTTTACTAATAGGTAGTATTTTATTTGTCACTATGCTTTTGTGATATGAATTTTTTTTTATCTTAGTACTCCCCTAGAAAAAATAAAGAAGAAAAGCTTTATTTATTACAAAGGTTATCCGTATATTGAGACAAAAATAAGTTCCAAAAATATATTTGACTGAATATTAGTATACATTTAGGTTTGAGATTGGAAAAAAATTAAAAGGATTGTGAAGTGAAAAATATTATAAAATTAATAAAATATAATTTATTTTTAATTTTAAATTATTTTTCATTTTTTATGCAGGTTGACCCGCCAACCCACCACAAAACGGGGTGAGTTGGGATTTTCAACCCATATTTTAATACGGGGCGGGGCAGGCCAACTCGTTTTTGGCAGATTGGCGGCGGGTCAGGGCGAGCCGACCCATTTTGCCACCTTTAATGGTAGCGGTGGTGTAGTGACGGCGATGGCGGTAATAGTGGTGGTGGGCTACGATGATGGTGATGGTGGTAGTGATAATGGTGGTGACAGTGACGGTAGGGGTGGTGGTGACGTGGAGGTGGTATGACGATGGTGGCGGTGGTCGTGTCGGGATGGTGGTGGCGGTGGTGATGATGGTAGTGGTGGAGAGTAATTAGGAGATATAAGTGTTTCTTATTTTGTGCCCGGGAACAAAAAAGCAGAATTATTTTTGATTCTTTTTTCTGTTCCCCAGCACAAAAATTAAACCGGTTCATCCTGGGAACAAAAAAATAAATCGATTTTACCAAATGAGTTTTCTATCCATTTTCGTTCCCGGGAGCAGAAATTAAAAAAAAAAGATTCTGGAAAGGTTGTCATGCACACCCTAAATCATAACTGTACAAAGATGGATCAATGGTGATAAAGGAAGAGAGAGAAAAATGAAATCATAACAATTCAAAGGTGAATCAATAAATATAAGGAAATAAATAAACAAAACGACGTAGTTTTGGGCTGGTCGAAGATAAATATATCTCAAGCAACTTGAGAAATATTTTTCTCATATATATATATATATATATATATATATATATATATATAAGGGAAAACTTCATTTTCATCCATTGTGATTTTGTGATTTGTTATTTGACTCCCTTTGGTTTTAAACTTATCACTTAGACCCGCTGTGCTGAAATAATTTATCATTTAACCCCCTATGGTTTCAAACTTTCACTTTGACCCCTTATGGATACAATTTTTACTTAAACCCCTTGTTGTTTAAAAAATAAATATTTTAAAAACATATTTAAAATAAATTTTCTCTCTTTTTTATTTTATATCCTCATGTAATGCATTTAGGGTTTGAAAAATATTTTAAATTATTTATTCTGAATCTAATTTATAAATTATTTTATTTTTTTATTTTAAAAATATATTTGAAATTAAAAAGATTATTTAAGATGAAATAAAAATAATATTATTTATGATAAATTAAATATGTATTATCAAAATAAGGTATTTACTTTCTTTAAATAGATAAAATAAAAATATTTGATTTGAATTTATTTTCTTGATAAAAGTAAGTGAATTTTTTTAGAATTTATTTTTATTTTTTAAACCTTAAATGCATTAGGTAAGGATATAAAATAAAAAAGAGGCAAAATTTATTTTCCTCTTATTTATTTTTTAAAATTTTTTATTTTTGTAATAAGGGGTCTAAGTGAAAATATTTTAACCACAAGGAGTCTAAGTGAAAATTTGAAACCACGAGGGGTTAAATGATAAATTATTTAAGCACAATGAGTGTAACACCCTGTGTATACCCGAATTGTTGTCATATTACGGTATTAAGCACAGCTCAATTAAATGTGGAAGCTAAAATAAAACCAGTTATTAGGCATGCAAGATCACTTTTTCTTTATTAACATGGCAATATAAAATCCATCTATATCCTTATGTAATTGCCAAACCAAACTAGAGTTCCTGAAATGCCTCAAATATCATAAATAAAATACTAAGTCATGAAGCTACATCGCGTAGTCATGACCAACGTCCATATCTCATGGCGTAACAAAGTACACATGTTCAACAATAACACAAATAAATCAAAGGCATGGACAACCCACATGCTCACAAACAAATAAAACATACATAGTCTGGTAAAAACATAACGTCATAATAATCATGCCACGGTACAATAATCATATTCATAATACTCTGAATAAAACATGCATCTCAAATAAACTCTACTCCGGCCTCTTGCCTCAGGAAGCATCCATCTCATGGACATTTGTACCTGAAAATATGCCCCACACGGGGTGAGATCTCTAAACAAAAATCTCAGTAAGTAAGGGTTCTCGAAGAGTTCCTCCGCCCCAAGCTCACTTCGGTATAACAGTTCAAATATAACATTTCAACAGTAATAGCATATTCACATGATGCAGCAACATATATATATCATGCATGTGTGCTAACAAGTCTACTAGCCGGAGAAAGAATGATTTACGCACGTCTACTACACGTATAAGAAGCATAAGGCATCTACCTTATATCCACACTCAGGGATTACCATCTTGTGCAGCTCCACACTACACTCAGGGATTACCATCTTGAGTGTAATACACCACATAACATACATATATAAGAGTGCATCATTTCATAATCTCAAATAACAGATAAGCACATATACCACATAAAACTACCATCCCCCTCTTGGAGTATGGTGGAACAAAAAGGGATTAACCCTGAGAATACGAAACTTACCTGTCAAGTAGTATAATCAAGCTCAAAATCCAAACAGCAACTCACAGATCACAAAATAGAAGGATCAAGGTCTGTTCATAACATAAATATCATCAACACTTATGCTCTATAATTTCAAGTCAAAAGGAATACGTTTCCTTTCTCATTTAGCGTACTGCAGGCTTCTCCCAAAGCCCCTAAGCACAAACTGTCTTTACCATTTTTAAAATTTCAGTTGGATATATTTACCAAAAATTCTAAGATTTTAATATGTTAAACTGGACATCTCCATCTTTCCAACGACATATTTTATGTCTCAATCGGAGTTGTATAACTCTGATTATGATTTTTGCAAAGTGACTGCTGCAAACTAAATTTCCAACAACCAAGATGCGACTTCAAACTAATACTGTGATCAAACCACTTATCCAATGGATACTAAATTTTACAGATTTGTAGTACTACGTGCTAGCTTCACATAGGTCCAAACCTCACTCAATTTGGAGCTCTGTAGCTTGAGATATCGCGATTTTACTAAAATAGTGTGTTGCTGTCACAATTGCACTAGGTAATCAATTACCATACAGGCGGTAACCGATTACCATTCATGGTAATCGATTACCACTATAAGGTAATCGATTACCACCTGTGCAGAACACAAACATGCAGGTTTTTTCTACATAATTTGAGCTCCAATGGCGTCCCAAGGTTCCCACCTTCGATTTACTCACAAACAGAAGTTCAAACTACCATTTTACACTTAATTTAACAACATTTTACTTGAATCATAAAAGTTTCCCTTTTTAAAAGACTCAAAACAAGATTTGTTCATGAAATTACAAAGGAAATGATGATAGGTTACCTTAGGAATTTCAAAAATAGATAAATAAGGGAACTTTGAGGGCTTTGAAGATGCTACAAGCCACTGCCCAAATGGTGCACGAAAATCACAAGGTTGGTTCTTTCTTTACAAAAGTTAAATCTTGAAGCTTGAAAGTAGGTGGAAATGGCTCCAACTCCACAAAACACACAAGGATACACTCCTCATCCACTAAGGCAGCAAGCACACTATTTTAAGATGCTCATTTTCTTCACTAACTTCACCAACTCAAGGTGTTTACATGGGTGGAATGATCAATGATGAAGAAATAATGAACCTAGGTACTTTTTCTTGAAGAAAGGCTTTGTCTTTCATGAAGAACAAAGGGTAGCAGAAATAAGAGGATGAGATGCTGTATCTACATGGGTGTTATAAATTTTGACCTAAGGTTTAGTGCCATTAGCTATTCATAGGTGCACTCACTTAAACTAACAATATTAGTTTAATTAGTTCCGCTCTTCATTTAACTCTAAGATTTTATATTCTTAACGTAGACATTTTTTTAGGAATTATCATATTTTTGCATTATATTTTCGAGACACTTTACTTGTATGCTTTTTACACATAGTCAGTATTAGTTCAGACATCACCGCTCATTATCTTTACTCCAAAATTGATATCCTTGGCCTAGATATTTTTCTAGGAATATTTATTTTTTTATTATAATTTTTCGGAACACTTCACTGGTACGCATTTATACCATGAAGCAGAACCGATATCCGCACTTTTCATCAGAAAGAGATTTAAGCGTTATTTGACGTTCTCGGTAATTATTATAATCTTTCTATATTTATCCAAATTCAATTATGGAATTATTTCATAAAGGGTGTTATTAATCTCATGTTAAAGGAGATAAGTTATCTCATGTCATAGAGATAAACTTGTGGGCTCCATGACCTGAAAAATAAAAAGAAAAGAAAAGAAAAAGGTGGCACAATTATCGAAGAGTGTGTAGGAGAGAAATTTATCACATGTAGCATAAGAATAGTTTATCTCTTTCTTAAATTCATAATTAAATTATTTAAATTCCTAATTTAATGATGCGAGTTCTTACAATGGGTCACAGTTATAAGTTTAAAATCACGGGGGGTCAAATGATAAATCACAAAACCACAATGAGTGAAAATTAAGTTTTCCCAAAAAAAATACATTAACATTGTAGCAAAATTAAATCTTGAAAAAGTTGCATTAATTCCATTAATAAACGAGTTTGGTGAATTGTTTGAAAAATAAATGTTAATCAGTTAGTTAGTTTGATGATCCCTATAAATGGGTTTTACATTGAAGGCTTGGGTGCAACATCACAATATGAAAATCATAATTGTCAAAGTTCATGACATTCCCTTGTTGTTATAGCTATTCGCAAGCGCCAAAACATTGCTTGTTATCTTCTTCACCTTCGTCACTGATAGCCTTAAGCTATTGATTCACAAGAAATGGAAAATTCAAGTAGCGATATTATAGCTCAGCAATTCGAGTTTGCTAATTACTCCAGAAATGAAGGTTCAAAAAGAAGACAAGTTTGTTACAGATATCAGCTAATCCCCTCTCACACCTCTCTTTCCTAATATACTGAAACAGAATGAAAGTGATGGGCTTAAGGCTACTGGCCCATTTACAAGAAAGAAAGAAAATTAGACTCAAAAGGTTTCAGGCCTGTTGGCCCAATTGTAATCTTCAGCACCCATGTGCTCTCCTTGTTGCACCCATGTGCTCTCTTCTGCTTACCGACACCTAAGGGCCACGTGTCTCGACCAGATAGTCCTTTGCCCACTTAGCTGGCACCCTGATCCTACTCCCCCTTCGACGTGGTGCTTCCTCTGTTGTTTGATGTCCGTTTTCTTCCTCTGTTCCCCCATAAACGTTCTTCTCCTCTTCTTCTGTTGATAAGCCCTTATCAATTTCCTCCACCCTTAAAAGATCGATCTTGTCCTCAAGATCAAACTGAGAAAAGGCCTAGCAAAACTCCGAGGCGGAGATCCACGATGCGTCCTCCAAGGGCAAGCCGCGCCACTGCACAAGGACTTGCAAGTCCGAACCTTTGCCACTTGCTAGGGTACGGGAACGCAAAATCGCCACCGGATCTGTCACAGGGTGACCGTCCCAGGTTACTGTGGGTAGTGGTTGGTGATGAAAGGAGCCATTTTGGCGAAAATCTTTCAGTAGAGACACATGGAAGACTGGGTGGATGCGTGAGCCGTCCGGTAGAGCCAAGCGATATGCAACAGCTCCGATGCGTGCCGTGATGGAAAAAGGCCCATAGTATCTGCGTCTCAGTTTGGAGTAAGACTGATTCCGAACTGATTTCTGCCGGTAGGGTTGAAGTTTGACCAATACTTGGTCACCGACAGCGAAGTGGATGTCGCGGCGGTGCTTGTCCGCTTGGGTTTTCATTCTCTGTTGTGTGCGATGTAATGTTTCGCGGAGATTTCTGATGACAACATCTCTTTTTGTTAACAGGGCATCCACAGCTTCAATGGGTGAAGCCTCTCCATCATAGGGTTGCAACGCTGGGGGTAAACGTCCGTAGAGGATCTGGAAGGGAGTTGCTCCGATGGCTGAATGGTAGGAAGAGTTATAGGAGAACTCAGCCCATGGTAGGTACTGAACCCAGCTCTGTGGATTGTCCATTGTATAGCAGCGTAAATATTGTTCTAATCCCCTGTTGGTGACCTCTGTTTGACCATCACTCTCAGGATGATTGGTTGTACTGAAGTGAAGGCGGGTTCCACTTAGACGAGATAATTCTTGCCAGAATTTGCTGATGAAGATACGGTCTCTATCTGAGACAACCGATTTAGGGACGCCATGATGTTTGCAGATGTCTGCAACAAACACGGTTGCCACCTTTGTAGCGGTAAAATTGCTCGGTAAAGCTGAGAAGTGAGAATACTTAGAAAGCCTGTCGACAACAACCATGATGGCCGTCTTTCCCTCTGATGGAGGTAACCCAACTATGAAATCCATCGAGAGGTCCTCCCACACCGCTTGAGGAATGGCTAGAGGCTGCAGTAGGCCCGCTGGGGATAAGGGTTGGTACTTCGTGACTTGGCACACAGGGCAAGTACGAACAAACTCCTGAACATCATGTTTCATATTAACCCAGTAGTAATGGGTGGAAAGCCTATGCAGGGTCTTACGGTTACCTCCATGTCCTCCTATAACTGTGGAGTGGAATGCATGAAGCAAGGCAGCGCGTAGATCGGAGGTGCTGGATAAAATGATTCTCCCTTTGTAAAAGAGCAAGTCATCTTTGAGAGAGTAATGCTCGTACCCTTCGGTTTGTTCTTCTATGGCTTTCTTTAATTTTATTAATTCTGACTTACTGTTAACTTCGGCTTTTATGGAATCCAGCAGAGGGTTAACTAATGTGGACAACGTAAATAGTACAGTTTGCTCAGAAATATCCTTCTTCTCACCCTCATGCACCCTGGACAATGCGTCGGCCACCTTGTTGACAGCTCCTGGGAAATACTCGATGGTATAATCAAAGCCCAACAACTTGACAAGGAAACGTTGTTGCTCTGGTGTCTGAATCACCTGGGCCATCAACTCTCGGATGCTGTGTTGATCCGTCCGGATGGTGAACTTGCTGCCCAACAGATACTGGCGAAACTTTGTAACACTCTCAGTGATGGCAAACAGTTCTCTAACATAAGTTGATGATTGCTGCATTTTGGGTGATAGTTTCCGGCTGAAATAGGCAACGGGTTGGTTATTCTGACTAAGCACAGATCCAATACCAATTCCGGTGCATCAGTCGTCAGCACAAAGGGCTCACTGAAATTCGGTAAGGCCAGAACTGGAGGGTTGGACAACACCTCTTTCAGTTGGTCCATGGCCTGGGAAGCAGCATCATTCCACTGGAATCCATCTTTCTGAAGAAGGTTGGTGAGAGGGGCTGCCAGTTGAGAAAACCCTTTGACAAACTTCCTATAATACCCAGCCAGTCCCAAAAAGCCCCTTAGTTGTTTCACTGTCATGGGTGTTTTCCAGTCCCTGATGGCTTGAATTTTTTTAGTATCCGGACGTACTCCATTTTCTCCCACCACATGTCCCAAATATTCCACTTCAGATTGGGCAAAGGAACATTTCTCTCTTTTGGCATAGAGCTGATTGTCCTGTAAACATTGTAGCACCCTCCGGAGATGCTCCAAGTGATCCTCTAGGGTCCTGCTATACACTAAAATATCATCAAAAAAAACAATTACAAATTTTCGCAAGAAGGGTTTAAGGACTGAGTTCATGATTCCCTGGAAAGTGGCTGGTGCGTTGGTGAGGCCGAATGGCATAACCACAAACTCATAGTGACCTTCGTGAGTGCGAAAGGCGATTTTGTAGATATCTGGTTCAGCCATACGGATTTGATGGTTTCCAGACCTTAAGTCTATTTTGGAGAACACAGTGGCCCCTGCAAGTTCATCAAGCATCTCGTCCACTGTTGGAATTGGAAATCGATTTGCTATGGTTACTTGGTTAAGAGCCCTATAGTCTACACAAAATCTCCAGGTCCCATCCTTCTTCTTGACCAGCAACACTGGGGATGAGAACGGACTAAGGCTGTGGCGGATCACCCCTGTTTCTAACATCTCCTTTACCATTTTCTCTATTTCTGATTTCTGAAAATGTGGGTATCTGTATGGTCTGACATTAATTGCTGTGGTTGTAGGTGCAAGGTGTATACGATGATCTTCTTCTCGAAAGGGTGGTAGATGCAAGGGCTTCTCAAAAATATTTGCAAAGTCATGCAGAAGCTGCTGCACTTGGATGTCTAACTTCTCGGTTCCCTGAGGTGGATGCTCTATATATTGCTCAATAGCTTGTAACTGATAGAGGTATGCAACCGAGTGTGAAGAAGTCAGCCTGCATAATTGATTTAATTGGATAGCCTCCACAGCTATATTAGACTCTCCTTGTATTTCTATCAACTGACCATCCCTCTCAAACTTCATCAGCAGCTGTTTATAGTTGATGGTAACATCCCCCCATTCAGATAGCCATTGCACACCAAGAACGACTTCAGCCCCTTGAATTGGTAATACATACAAATCTGGATAAAAAACATGGCCCTGTATGTCGAGTGGCACATGTGAGCATACCCCCAAGCAGTTCATTACCTCCCCATTCCCCACCAGTACCTGGAATTTCTGTGTGGGTTTAGTTTCCAATCCCATAAAATTCACCAAGCGTTCCTGTATAAAATTATGAGTTGAACCCCCATCCACCAAAATTTGAGCCACTGTCTTGTTGATCCTCCCCTTGACCCGCAGGGTACTTGTTGAGTGTTGACCAGCCATGGCATGCAGGCTAATCTCAGGCATGGAGTTGTCATCACCCCCAATTTTTTCATTACTGACTTCGTGTTCCAGTTCCAGTTCATTCCCATTGGATTCTATGTTGTCATCCCCTTCGTTCTGTACTATCAAAATAAACATCTTCCCCTTGCATATATGATTCCTGTTGTATTTCTCATCACAATAGAAGCACAACCCTTTCTCCCTCCTATCTGCCATTTCTGCTGAGGACAATCTTTTGATGGGAATGTTCTCTTTTTTTGGCATCATGCCCGAAGTAGTCGACCGTGGTGGGGCTGGTAAAAGTCCAGGTTGGTTAACACTAGTAGATCCCACTGTGTTTCTGTTATAGTAGGACCTCACAGTACTTTTGTCATTTATTTTATCTTCTATTAACTTGGCTAAATCAATGGCCTGTTCTAACGATGCAGGTAAGTGTAAACGGACTTCTTTACGTATTTCAGGTTTAAGACCTGACTCAAAAAAACTTTGAAGACTGATGTCATCAATCCCAATTACCTGATTCGCTAATTGCTCAAACTGCGTTTGATACTCCGTCACCGTAGCCACCTGAGCTAGTCGCCCAAGCTCTCCTCTCAGATCACGGTAGCGGGAAGGCCCAAATCTTGCGCGGAGTGCTACCAAAAATTGGTCCCACGTGCGTAATCTGCCATTGCGATCCATCCAATGGTACCATTCCTCCGCTGGTCCATCCATGTGGAACGAAGTCAGAGTGAATTTCTCTACATCAGTGAGATTATGAAACCCATAGAACTGCTGGATTTTGTGGATCCATGGCTCGGGGTTGCTGCCAGCAAAGCGTGGTATGGTAAGTTTCACTGATTTGAATGCATTTGTTCCAAATAGATCACCCAATCCTCCGTGCGATGCACCTACTGTTTTCCCCTTACTTTTCTGGGTTTGATCTAATTTTGCTTCCACCATAGTTAACTTCAAGTTCATCTCCTTCAGCAGATTGCTCAACGAGTTGAACTGATCATCATGATGTGCTAACCGAGTCAGACATTCGTCCATTGCTGTGTGTTTAACAGAGCTGCGAGTTCCTTCTGCCATTACAATTTCAGAAGTTGCATCTCAACGAAAGCACCAAAATGATAGCCTTAAGCTATTGATTCACAAGAAATGGAAAATTCAAGTAGCGATATTATAGCTCAGCAATTCGAGTTTGCTGATTACTCCAGAAATGAAGGTTCAAGAAGAAGACAAGTTTGTTACAGATATCAGCTAATCCCCTCTCACACCTCTCTTTCCTAATATACTGAAACAGAATGAAAGTGATGGGCTTAAGGCTACTGGCCCATTTACAAGAAAGAAAGAAAATTAGACTCAAAAGGTTTCAGGCCTGTTGGCCCAATTGTAATCTTCAGCACCCATGTGCTCTCCTTATTGCACCCATGTGCTCTCTTCTGCTTACCGACACCTAAGGGCCACGTGTCTCGACTAGATAGTCCTTTGCCCACTTAGCTGGCACCCTGATCCTACTCCCCCTTCGACGTGGTGCTTCCTCTGTTGTTTGATGTCCGTTTTCTTCCTCTGTTCCCCCATAAACGTTCTTCTCCTCTTCTTCTGTTGATAAGCCCTTATCAGTCACCCCGACGGGATACATCCGTCTTCACCAGACCCTCCGATACGTCGTTGAATCCGTCCATACATGTCCCTTCGTTGTTGATCACCGCACTCATCCACGTCAGCACGTTGCTCATCTGGAATCGGAAGGAGCTGGTGCCATCGCTGGCGCCGAAGGATCCTATGTGCTGCATCTGCTCGAGTGAGTCACGAATTTGGTTGATGGCGTCGTCTAATTTCGAGAAGCAGTCATGAACCACCTTGGTAGCAGGAGAGTTGTCGGTTTCGCGCGCGAGGTTGGAGAGGTAGGAGGTCGCGCTTTGGACCTTTAAGAGGCTAACAACTATGGCAATGCGAGTCAGCTGGCCTGGGTTCTGTCGGACAGCATTGGCATGCCGAGAGAAAGGGAGTGTTGGAAAGAATATTTTTATCATTTGTAAAGATCTATTTCTTTATTTCATTAGGATTTAGTTTAGGTATGGGCTAAGCGCAGTAATGTTTCCTTATATATTGTACTCTCCTGAATGAATTCAATGTATAGATTTATTTTAATGTTCCTTTCGTCTCTTTTTTCTCTACAGAAACCACCCAAACACCTAAATAAAGGCATATAAGTAAGCAAAGCTTCCAAAATCTATCAAGATATCCAACAAAGAAACCTGACTAATATAGCCTCTAGTCAAATAAGGAATTCAATGAGAAATTCAGGGAAAATGAGAGAACTTCACTCGTTCTGGAGGATCAGAGACACAAATATATCAGGGGAAATATGCTAACGATATAATATGTTAATAGCACCGTCATTTCAAAACGATATGTTATTGCATATGAGTCAGAACATAAGGAATATTTAACCTTTTCCTTTATAATATTAGGCTTCATACCAAACATAGAGACAACTTGACATCCCATGCAAAACTTATGCTGGCCTTAAACCACTTCAAGAAAGATAAAAATGTTGGATCTTACATTGCTCAAAAGCCAATGAGATCGCGTTGTCTAAGCCTAATGTATGTGACATTTGTGTCCAGCAAAGAGAGAATCATGCTTCTTCAATGCCTGACATAAAAAACCATAATTTTACAATGTGTCTAACCAAATGCACCATTGGAGCAATATGCTGCTTAAACACTAAATAATTTAGACATTTTCCATTTATCCTCATCATTTCTGACATTACTTATGATTTTCTAATAAGCAATATGTAATCGCATTATTTCATATAAGCCCTACTAGATAGGCTCTGCCACACTTTCAAAACATCGGTTGAATCACAAGTTAATATAAATGTTATGACATATTGTACAGAAGTATAGCAAGAAGCAAGAAAGTAAATTTTCTTATGAAATTTTTATTTCTAAATCAAGCATCATTAACATCAATTGGATATAACATAGTAATTACCAACCAACATCTTTCATTGTACCCTCTTTTCCTTTTTTAAACTTGTTGGAATTAATTTTGAATTAATTATGTTTATGAATTCGTTGAACGGATGTGTATTTTCATGTTGAACAGATGTGTTGTTTCATTGACGAATAAGTGACTTTTGAATCATGATCTTACGTTTCCTATAAATATATATATAGAGAATTAGGATTTTTGAGAATGGTTTTCCATATTGGTTTATACACATTCTTTGCATTTGCATTATTATACTCCAGTGCGATTGGTCAGACATACGTTGAGTTCGATGGAGCTATTTAATATGGAAGTGTCGCCATAAGAATAAAGGTAATACATTCTATTGTGGGAGACAATTATCCATGAATCTTGGGCACCATAGAGAGGGCAAAGTTGTCTTAAAGACACAACGTCTAACACTGGTTTGGGATTTTCCCTTATTTCATTCATATATTTTCGTATGGTACGCTTTAACTTTCTGGTGTGTATTTCATGGAAATGTGAATATTGTTGAATTGATGTCTCTAACATAGATTATCCTCTCTCATTGATTTTAACATCAATTTTCCTAACAACCTTAAGACAATATTCATGAACTAGGTGCCGATGGGACTAAGATTTAATGTGAAATATTAAATCCTAAAATTGTTTGCACAATGTTTGTATCTTGAAATTAAAGTATGATAAATTTGTTGATGACCAAAGTGCCGACTCGCTATTACATGCATATGTAAATAAAAGAGAATTAGTCCCTAGATAGAAAACAAAAAGGAAAATTGTATGTCATTTTAAATGACATAAGTTATGTCATTTCATAGATACAAAGAGGTGTGGATCCCACTCTACCTATGAAATGACATAACTTATGTCATTTAAAATGATATACACTTTTTCCAAGACAAAAATAACTTCAATTCACTAGCGTGCATGAGGCCAGCCAGAGGGTAGTTCTCTTAGTTGCAATATGTTAAAACATAAATCCATAGCAGCCCACAAACTATCATAGCAAACCATATTCACCATATTTAATAAATGAGCATTATGAAAGGCTGTTGATTAATATTTAAAAACTATAAAAAAAATGTATACCATTCCTATCAATGTAATTTAAGCTCATCAAGAGAGGATGAATAGTGAATAACATATATGCTGCTCTTTTTCTGCGCAAAAATATAATGGGAGAAACAGGTGAGAAGTAGAAGTAAAATATGATCATTCACAGAAATATTATACTAAACATAAAGAGAGCAAAATCATTAAGTTAAGGATATACTTCGAACAGATTGTACTCATCCATTCAATAGTAAATACAAACGTCATTTTAGACGAACTCACAGAATCAAGAAATAAATGCAAATCAACGATTCAATCCTCCCTCTAATTCGTTCGAGTTAGTGAATAAAATAAGTTGGTCCAATAAAATTTAAAAGTTAAGATAAAAAGAAAGATATACTGTCACATTTTTAATGATTTGAGATTTTATGCAATTATTAATGTAGTCAATTTTATTATAGGGTTCATTTTTTCTATACTTAATGTAGATAAGTTATCTATATTGAGTCCAAAACGACGTCATTTTGGAACGAAAATCAAGGTATTTTTGTAATTATAATTTATTTCAGGGTTATAATAGTCTTTCTTATTATAATTTTTTAATTTTTAACCCAAAACGACATCATTTTGGAAGTGAATGTAGATAATTTATCTACATTCTTTGTAGAAACATTAAATCATTTATTATATGAGTTTTATTTTTTTATGTCACATAAGATAAATTTTCTCTCCTACTCTCACAACAAATGATGTGATCCGAGAAAAAAACAGAACACGAAAATCCAAGTGAGAGTAGGAAATAAAATTTCTAAAAAAAATAAAACCTTGTTATATATAGTGTCCTGTCCATACAAGATTAAATGATAATAATAATAAAAAAGTACATTAACATTGTAGCAAAATTAAATCCTGAAAATGTTGCATTAATTCAATCAATACACGAGTTTGGTGAATTGTTTGAAAAATAAATGTTAATCAGTTAGTTAGTTTGATCATCGTTATAAATGTTAATCTTCTGTGCAACATCACATAAGACCGAAGAATCTGAAACTTCAAGGCATTCCCTTGTTGCTATAGCTATTCGCAAGCGCCAAAGCGTTGCTTGTTATCTTCTTCACCTTCGTCACCCGACGGGATACATCCGTCTTCACCAGACCATCTGATACGTCGTTGAATCCGTCCATACACGTCCCCTCGTTGGTGAGCGCTGCGCTCATCCACGTCAGCACGTTGCTCATCTGGAATCGGAACGAGCTGGTGCCATCGCCGGCGCCGGAGGATCCTATTTGCCGCATCTGCTCCAGTGAGTCGCGGATTTGGTCGACGGCATCGTCTAATTTCGAGAAGCAGTCATGGACTGCCTCGACTGCGGGCGAGTTACCGGCTTCGCGCGTGAGGTTAGAGAGGTAGGAGGTCGTGCTTTGGACCTTCAAGAGGCTAACGGCTATGGCGACGCGAGCCAGCTGGCCAGGGTTCTGTTGGACAGCGTTGGCGTGCCGAGAGAGGGAACTGTAGCATATTTTCGGGTAGAGCGTGGTGTTGCAACTCGTCCGGATGAAATCAGTGTTACCGTCACTGCCGGTGGTTCGGCCGTTTTCTATGGCGGTGGCCGCTGAGAATGCGGCTGCTAAGAAGACGAGGGACAGTAGGAGATGGAGAGGTCGTTGGGTTCTCATTTTTTGGTTTGGGTTTGGTTCCGTTGTGTTACGATTTGTCTGTTTGTGCAAGTGAGAGCGGTTTATGTAGGCAACAGATTCGCGTGAAACTACTATATGTACGCTGTCTTTGGCTGTAACAACGAGAATGCCATCCTACCTTTTCTGTTTGAAATAGTTTGTTTTAGAAAAATATCATGCAGTTAAAAATTTAACAACGTGAATTTCTAAACTTACAAGTTTTGCGTAGTCTAAATTTAGCCTCCAGTACGCATGCAAAAAATTCTCACGGTTTATGAAGATTGAGTTGTAATACGCCGTAAATATTGAAGACTTTACATGATTTGTTACCAACTATTCTGTTATATAGTGCAATGAGATGTAGGTTTGTTAAAGCCAACTAGATCGTTCTATTAATGTATATTATTATTAAAGTAATAGAGATCAAAAAATTAATATTTCATTTCTCCTTTTTCATTGTTGAGTATATTCTTGTTTCATATTAGGAACGCAGACCTTATTTGCAAATATAGAAGATATTTTATACGATTTGTTTCAATGCCATGAGTTGCAAGTTTGTTACAGCCATATAAATTTTAAAAAAAAAACTCTATTGAAGTTGAAGGGAGATTTTATTGTATTTTAATTTATCGGTATATTTTTTAGGGAAAATTTCATTTTCACTCATTGTGTTTTTGTGATTTATCATTTGATCCTATGGTTTTAAATTTATCACTTAGATCTATTGTGTTTAAATAATTTATCATTTAACCCATCGTGGTTTCAAATTTTCACTTAGATTCTTTGTGGTTAAAAATATTTTCACTTAGACCCCTAGTTACGAAAATAAAATTTTTAAAAAATAAATAAGAGGATAATAAATTTTCTCTCTTTTTTATTTTATATCCTCAGCTAATGCATTTAAAGTTTAAAAAATAAAAATAAAATCTAAAAAAATTAACTTATTTTTATCAAGAAAATAATTTCAAATCAAATATTTTTATTTTATCTATTTAAAGAAAGTAAACATCTTAGATAATACATATTTAATTTATCATAAATAATATTTTTTTAATTTCATCTTAAATAATCTTTCTAATTTCAAATATATTTTTAAAATAAAAAAAGTTAAGATAATTTATAAATTAATTTCAGAATAAATAATTTAAAATATTTTTCAAATCCTGAATGTATTATATGAGGATATAAAATAAAAGAGACAGAAAATTTATTTTAAATATTGTTTTAAAAGTTTTGTTTCTTAAATCACAAGGGGTTTAAGTGAAAATGTTTGTAACCACAAAAGATCTAAGTGAAAATTTGATACCATTGCGGTTTAAATGAAAAAAATTGTAACCACCACAAAGGATTTAAGTGAAAATTTAAAATCACAGAGAGTTAAATGATAAATTATTTCAGTAAAGTAGATCTAAATGATAAATTTAAAATCACCTCAAATGATAAATCACAAAAAATCTGAAAATGAATATAATGGGAGCGAGCCGAAAAGTAATAGAAAATGTTTTTAAAAGTATATAACTAACAAAACACAAACGAATGATTGGGAATAAAAAGTAACATGATGACCATCAACAAAATTCTCAAAGAGGAAAAGAAGCTAACCAAATTAACACGTTTAGAATTAAGAATCGGAAAATCCCTTGGTAGTTCGTTCACCCTTCAACAAACCAGTACTGTGTTTTGGTTTGACTCGTAAACACGCTCACTTTTTTCATACTCTTTGGAATATTGGTTAGTTTTTCTACGACACCCAGCAATGTCACAACATCTTAGCATTCACACTGCACCATTCTCTTTAAAATCTCCAACAACCAAATCAAAATCTCTCTCTCTCTGCTGTTTCAGATCCAGTTTCCCTTTCCCTAACTCACCGTTAATTTCAATTTCTTGTGACTGTGCCAACGAAACCCCTTCAATAGGAGGAGCTATTCCGTTGAGACAGCAAGGGTTCTTGGAGGATGACCCTGTTTTCCTTCACATTCAACCCATCCTCAGCGAAACCCACTTCGATCGTGTCGTTGCCGAGGCTCAGCAGCTCCGTCATTCTCTTCTTATTGTTTGGTAGGTTTCGTTTTTGACCGTTTGTGTTTATTTCCAAATTGAAATAAATAGAACAAAATTTAGGAGAATTTATAACATCTTTTACAAAAAACAAAAAACCACTCCTCGTTAAACTCGACTAGCGAACTTGTGGTGGAAGTAATTCTTGTAAGCAAAATTGTTTTTATAAAGGACGAATCTATAACATCCTTTATTTCCAAAAAAAAAATTATATGGAAATTTGTTTCTCTCACTTGTTTTTCTCTTTTACCAGCCTGTGTTATTAATTTTTGTTTGTTAGTGAATTAAGATTGAAAATAACGTTTCTTATAACTGCGTCAGTGTAAGTTGATACTTCCCTATATGTAGATAGATTTGTTTTGATCAAAATGGAAAAATGAACATGACACAAGGTTCCCTTTCACTCTGGCCTATCCTAATGTCTGTGGCCTTAAAAGAAAATTTTCATCATCTTGATTGAGCATGACTCTAGTTTTAATTTATTTTATTTTGGTGTAAGTGAATTCATCAATGAAAACTTCATTATCATGATTTTTGCAATGTTTTTGAGGTAGCCAAATTGTGGTTTATGCAGTCCAAATTATCAAATTTGTCATTAATGGCAACTTTTTTTTTTGGAAGTAAGAGTACACAAGCTTTTTTTGTAGCTATTGAGCGTTTTGACCTCCTAGAAATTATTTAGTGACACCGTGGGATGAAGGCCCTGATATGATCAGAACACTGTTTTTTATATTATGGTAATTTGAGTTTGATGGCTTGCTTAAGCATTTGGATATCTTATTTTGTCCATGATACTTCATGAAAAACTTTTATTTCTTTCTTTTATCTAATTAGTGAATAACTCTTTTACCTAGTGGGATTTGAGGTGAGATTACGTGGTTTGTAGGATGGCAACTTGGTGCAGGAAATGTATATATTTAAAACCAAAATTGGAAAAGTTGGCAGAAGACTATTATCCAAGGTGAGATTCCATTTTGTTTTTATGACTGTCAAGCACAACTAGAATAACTTCAGAGCATATCAGTGATTCGCAGATTCGCTCTCTTGTCCTTGAACCAATGGAAAATCCATACTGGTACTTTCCTTGAGCCATTTGATATGTGGGACTTTTCCTTTATAATCCCTTAACATCCATTCAATATTGATTGAAATTTTTCTCTGGCTTTAATGTGGTCTATTCCAGTAAAAATCCTCGTAAATTTCTTATTTGGTGTTCTTTCTGTTGAAATAGAGAGTAGTTGGGAGAAACTCTGTCATGTGTTCATGCATTCCAAATAATTTATACTACTAGGAGTGCATCAAGCGTAAGAACTAATCAAGAACTTGTCTAGTTGACTAATATTCTAACATGTGCTAAATATTGTAATGAATCTAGACCAATATTCTAACACTACCCTTCAAGCTAAAGCTTGTCAATTCTTAACTTTTACAAATAAGTAAACACGCAACAAAAATTTGGGCTTGACCCAAATGCCTATTTTGACAAATATTGATAGTTTGCTATTTTATTGGTAAATTCGAATTCTAAATGTAATCATTATATATGATGATTGAGAGATATGTGAGATTTTTTTTTTTTTTTTTAAATAGGAAACTAGGGAAGTCCTTAATTGATAAAGAGAGTAGAAGGGTGGTTGTTTATCAAGCAAGTTCTTGTGAGATATAAATACTTGTATTAGGGATTTGTTTGAGGTATGAGAATGAGAGAGATGAAATTGCGAGTATTGTTGTTGAAGGTTTGCATCATTGTCTAAAAAAGTTGTAAGACCAATGGGAAATGGTTTGCTGCTTTTCCGTTCAAAAATTGTAATATAATGTTAGCCACAGTGAATTTGATATCTTCTCATCTGTAGATGTAGGTATAACATCCCAAAAATATAATGCTACTAGGATTAGGTGTAAGTGTTAGTGTAATTAAATTATAATTAATCAATGTGCCAATTTGGTAAAATTGGGAAAACTTAGGGTCAAAGATGGAATTTAAATCTGATTAGGGCCTTGCTTAGGTGTGGAACAGCTCACACAAATTGTTTGCACCCATTTTTCCATCACTGTGTGATGAGAAATCAAGGACTACATGTGCCAGGCCCGTAGCTCCTACAATGAACTTGCCCAGACAGAATTCTGAACTATAATAATATATGTCTGAAGGCTGAAGACTTCAGAGAGAAAATCCCAACCTGTGTTTGCTTGATGAAAATTCTGCCCAAAGACCCCTCTTAACTTTCAACCATTAGGAGCTTGGTTAGGAGAGTTAGAAATCTATTACAATCACCAGCACCCATCGAAATTTGAGAACCATCAACCTTGTTCGACCAATAAAGTCCCCTCAATTTGCACTCTAAAGCTTCAGCCATACCAGCAAGAATTTGAGAGAAAGGTTGTTCACCATGAATTTCCTGGGTTGCATGGAGCTCCAGCCGTGCAAGGGACAGTGTTGGAGCTGTTGCGTACTTGTTTTGGTCTCTGTTCAAGGGAGGGAAATCTGACCAAAATTGTAGGGGAAAAAGAATTGGAAGAGCCCTGCTTTTAGTATTTAAGAGCAAGGTAAGTGCTAGAGGATCTTTTTTCTTCTCTTTGACTATGATTTGTACCTAATGGAGAAAGGAAATTCTTCTCCTTAGCTTGCATTTAACAATGGTCAGCGATAGTAGTTAATTGCGCCGCAATAGCGCCGCGAGCCGCGCCGTATGGGCGTTGTGGTGCCTCACTGCAAGAAACCGCTCCGCGCCGCATCGGAACGCAACAACGGCCATTGCGATCGCAAATCGCGGCCATATTGTTGTCATAAGGCAAAATGTCAATTTTTCCTAAATTTAAATGTGTAAGAGAAAATTTCTAAGGTGACATATTCGGTACCATTGTCAGACCTTAGTCTTTTAATTCTTTTTCCAAATTGGGTCTCAATCATTTTATAAAATCGAAAGAATAACTGTGATACCTTAGATTTTTCATGCATTAAAATACCCAGGTTACCCGAGTGTAATCATCAATGAAAGAAACAAACCATTTATTACCAGAAGCATGAGGAACTTTAGAAGGACCCCAAACATCAGAATGAACAAGATCAAAAGGCTCAACACTTTTAATGGTACTAGAAGGAAAAGAGACACGATGGTGTTTAGCAAACTCACAAACATCACAATGAAAACACTCAACAGACTTAGACAAAAATAATGATGGAAATAAAGACTTAAGCAAACGAAATGGAGGATGCCGCAAGCGTTTATGATGGAGCCAAATCAAAGAGTCGGCAGTAGACTGAGATTGAGTCAACAAGGTGTGATCTTTAGCATACTTTGCAGAAGATTCTGGCACCAGATAGTACAACCCACCTTGCTCTTTAGCACCCCCAATCGTCTTCCCCGTAGCGAGATCCTGAAAAACACAGTGAGTAGGGAAGAAAGTTGCAGTGCAATTCAAATCTTTGGTAATTTTATAGATAGAAAGAAGATTTGTGGAGAGTTTGGAAACATGAAGAACATTTTGGAGATGTAAGGAAGGTTGTAAATATATGTTACCGGAACCCGCAACTGATGTGTGTGAGTCATCAGCTACAGCTATTGTATGGGTGCCAATAGTAGGGTTATAAGAAAAAAAGGAGTCAGCACAACAAGTCATATGATCAGTAGCACCAGAATCGATAATCCAAGAATGTTTAAAATCAGTACAAGAAGAAAGAAAAGAATGAGTAGTGGAGCTTATACCAGTCATGGTCCAAGCACTAGTATTAGATGGCTTACTCAGAAAATCAAGCATAGTATGAATCTGCTCCAACTCATCTCGGCGAATAGAAATAAATTCCGAAGATGCACCATTTGAACCCGCCATAATATTGAGGTGAAAATCACACAAACGCAAATCCAAATGATGTCTGACCGAAGAGAAAACACAGATCTGGAAAGAGGAGACAAAACCAAGCAGGAAAAGTTTTTTTTTTTTTTTTTGCGTGAACAGTACTCGTGAACAGTACTGGTGAACAATACCGTGAACAGTGTTTTTTTTGTTGGGAGCTGTTCCGGTCGTCTGATGAAAAAGAAACCTCCGTAGAATAATAGATCTGAGAAAACAGAGTGAAACAGGGGTCCTCACGGTTCAAAAGGTCCCCGGAAATTTTTTTTCCGGTGGCGGCGAGAGGTAAATAGGGTTTGATTTTTAAAGGCGGTGATTTGCAGAAGCAGAGCTCTCAGAATCGGGAGCTCTGATACCAAGTTGAAAAAGGAGATAGTCTTATTGATAAAATTGTGTATAACATCGGTATAATTGCTCTCTATTTAAAGAAACTAAATAACCTAATGGGCTAAGCCCAAAGAAGATTCTAGAATGAAAATAAATAAACAAATATTATTATTTACAACACTCTCACTTGCCTAAGCAGCAAGCTCTATGGGTTAGCAGAGACCAGGCCACGAACTAGCCAAAATGCAACCGAACATACACAAACAGAAAACAACTATGGAGTATGCACAAAACTGATTCTGACTTAGACTTAGAAACAAAGGGAAAACCAAGGAAGCAATCAACAATGGAGTTCCATGGGAACTCTGCAGGGGAGACAATTGACCGATCATGGTGGATGGTGAGGCTCTAATACCTTAGTGATATAGAGAGCAACCGGGAGAAATTGGGTGTATTGTGTACACACAGTCCAATTTACACTATGAGTGCATTAAGTAAAGGAACTAAGACAGTATTGATTATAGAGCTAATAAACAGCTATGAACCATAACATAATTATAGTTGACTAATATTTTGACATGTGCCAATGATTCTAGGCTACTAATAAGCTAATGAATGTAGACTAGTATCCTAATACTTTCAACTAACTTATAATATATTAGTGAAGCTAAATGATTTTAGAGCATAGTTTGGACATCTCACGTGTAATTGTTTTATGTGTCATGATATTTTAGTTCAGATTTCAGTTAATATATTAATCGGTTTGTTAATTTTGTAATAATGGATATGTTTTATGTGGGTTTCATGTAGATTGCGGTTCTACAGTGTTGATGTAAATACAGTTCCACACAAACTTGTTGCTCGTGCCGGTGTGACTGTAAGTTCCTCATGGCTTACACATTATTTTTCGTTCTTTTTCATTTGCTATCTTAATGTAATGACAGTAATGTGTGCAAAATATATTGAAATTTGTATGTTATCACATCTCTAACGTATCAGTGTCTCTTTCACAAGCCGATGTAGCCATGGGGGTACTTCAGCAATAAGTACTTCATTTATGCGTGTCACATTTCTTTTTCTTAAACAGAAGTCACCATCTAAATTTTATAAATATTGACTTGAGAATGGTAAAGTGTTATAGACCCAAGAGAAAGAGAGCTGAGAGATAAAGGAGAGAAAAAGAAAGAACAGTGCTGTGATTGTAGATTGGAGGACAAACAGAACAATGGAGAGAATTCTCCTTTCAAGAGTTTTCCCTTCTACAACTGAGCTACTGCTTTGGTTCCCAACACTAACAATTCCGCAGTAATCCTCTTCTACCTGTCTCCTATTTTTTGCTAAGCTCGTGCTCTCGATAACTTCAACCACTTAACCAATTCTAACTACCTTTAATTACCTAAACAATTCTGTAACTACTCTAACGGATTAGCCTCAAAAATGGATCCTCTAATGTCTCATTTTAACTTGATCAGGTCATATGGAATTATCTCAGTCATTCATAATTTTTAAAAACAAATCAATGTTTTCCATTAAAGATATAGCCCAAAAGTTGATGAAGATGATCAAATTGCAGTTATTGATTCTCGTGAAACAAGACAAAATAAAAAAAAGTAAAATATTAAAAAAGGAGAGGGATCTTCTCACATGGTAAACCATTGATTTGTCATTAAAAGTTATGAATGACTGAGATCTTCTCATATGACCTGATCATATTAAAATGAGATATAAGAGGCTCCTTTCCTTCTTTTCCTCATTTTCCTTTATTCTTCTGTCCTAAGTCCCATAAGAAAGAGAGTACAAAAAATGACTGAAGAAGTTGAAATGAAAGAAATTGATACGTTCAGGGAAATAAGGGACCTAAAGCCTTTCAAAGTCTATAATAGGAAGCTTACGACAATTGAAAATTTATTGTGACATAGAAATGACTGCCAGTAACTGTCTTATTAAACATAATTTCCTTATTAAACAATTGTTCTGTATTGCACTTACTGGGAGTTATTACCATGTAATAAGAGGAGACAATTGGTATTATGTGTTGCACTTGCTGGAAGTCATTGCTATGTAATAAGAGGGTCTCGTTATTACTATGTAATAACAGGAGAGATCCTCTTATTACACAGCAATAACTACCGGTAATTGTCATACAGAACAGTAACTGCATAACTGACTAATTAATACACCAATATACTGACATAATAATTATCTTCTTAGTTTTCAATTGTCCTAAGCCTCTAGTATAGACTTTAAAAGGCTTTGGAACCCTTATTTCCCTGAATGTATCAGAAATAATATAGAAAATTGTATAAGAACTAAGGATAGATGTATTATATGGTATGTCTTCACATCATATGTGGCTTGCGCCTTGTGAAAATGGTACTGGTATCTTTTATTTGGTGTATGATTTGCAAAAGACCAATAGGGTCCTCAGTAAGAAGAGTTGATCAAATGGAACATAATAAGAGAGAGAGATGAAGATCAGGGAAAATTCTAATAGGAGAAATCACTAAAAGACTTTGATCTAACTGGCATGTCCATAAACTTTTGTTTTTTGACACAGCACAATGATGTTGTTTGATCCTTGTAACCAATACCACCTAGTAAAAAAAAGCTTTTGTTATTGTTTGTTGTGATTGGGCAGATGGGGATTGGTTTTTGATGTTATTGGAATTTTTTACTGGAGGGGCACGGAATATTAGTAACATCTGAATGATTTGCTGGTTTTATAAACCTCTAGCAAAGGCATATGTGATAATTGAATTATACCACTACTTGATGAGTCTCTGTAAATATTCAACCATTTCTCTCGACTTCCCTGTTATTCTGATTGTTGTATTTTCTTCAATTAAATTAACTATTTAGACATTTTTGCTTGACACTTATTATCTGTAATTTTTACATGTATTTGTATGGTCTGGGAATCATTGCAGAAAATGCCAACCATACAAGTAAGCACCATTGTATTTGATTTGATAAATTTGTTATATTCTTCTCCAGCCAGTGATTTAAATGTTCCTATTGCAGCTATGGAAAGATGGCAAGAAACAAGCTGAAGTCATCGGTGGCCATAAAGCATATTTGGTAATAAATGAGGTTCAGGAGATGATTGAGAATGAGTGCAATATGTGAGTTTTTAGTGCAGCAAACAAATTCTCCTCTACTTTAATATATCTTATTAAATGGTTGTAATATATTTGATCTAAAAGTTTACACTTCACACGTGTGGTAATTGCTAGTTTGAGGAGTTAGTTCCCTTAAAGCAACCAAAGAACCTGACTTCCACTAACACTTTGCATCTTGGCAAATATTATTCTGTAGTCTACTTCCATTCTTCTGTATATTCCCACGGAGCTGAGGATTGGAGAATGTAAAAATTGAGGTTACAAATAATCTTCTAAAACTTGGTTCTTTCTTTTTCTTTTGGTTTATACATGGTTTATTCATTTTGGAATGAGTGAGAATTGCATGCAAATGACAGAAATGTATTTCAATGAAATATTTTGCACATTAAACAATCAGATACCTTTTACTATACTTTCTTATCTCTTCCTAGCCTCTTATTTCATCTCCTCAACTGTTTCTGTTTATTTTGGTAAGTGATTGTGTTATGATTCTTCCAGAAACTTGAACATGTATATCAGAAAAGAGAATATGCAAACTATAGAGGAAACGCACACAAAAGTACTGAAACAAAGGCTGCCTAATAATTGCAAAAAAGAGAGGATAAATATTAAATAAATATTGTAACATCTCGTTTGTTGTCGGTGTATTATTGACATGAGCTGTCGAACTAGCATAAATAAATAAATCAGGTTTATAAAAAATTTGTAATATAGTGCAAACTTGAGTCGTCTCACACGGAAATTGCAAGGATTAAAATCGCAGATTAAAAACAGAAAATAAGAGGGGGAAATTTTGTTCGCTTAAATTAAAATAAAACAGAATGTGAAAATTGAAATTGAACTTTTGTAATGGAAATAACCAACCTAAGGTTAGGATTCCTAGGACATCTTTTCTCAGAGAAAAAGATACCAATCATGATTGATCTCAATCGAATCGGAATCCTTCTATTCAATTGAGACCCCTCTCTAAGCGATCGCCTAACGTAGGGATGGCAAAAATGAGCCAACCCGTCGGGTTGGCTCGTAACTCACATAAAATGAGCCGGGTTGGGTTGGCAAAAATGAACTGACAACCCGAGCCAGCCCGACCCGAGTCAGCTCGAAAAAAATAAGTTAACCTGCGGGTCAAATGGGTCAGCTCGCGAGTTATCTTTTTTTTTTTAATTTAAAAAACACCATTATTGAGCCGTCGCTGCCCACCATCTCCACACCCACTGACCAGCCATTGCACCACCACCAAGACCCATAAGCTTCAAAACCCCGGCTCCACCACCTTCTTCGGCCAACAACCACCGCGGGACCACCACCATCACCGATCCAACAAATCTTGGAAACCACCATCGGCGAAGACACATCCTCACCGTCGAATAGCAAACGAAACCCCACACCAACTTGTCATCTTCTCACAAAAGAGCACCACCGCATCCTTCTCCCAATCACCATAACCAGTCCATACCCAGCCACCAAACTCATTCACTCATATTGAACTATACTTTCTCACAAACTCCACCCACCGATAGTCACAAATACCCTCACCATTCCAAACCCCTTCCTCCATTATCATCTAACACCACAGGCCACCACAACACTCAAAGTCCATGGAAACCGCTCGATACCCCTGGTCCGCCTTCCTTCACCACTAAGCCCTTTTCCTTTTAAGACCATTTTGCCAATCTCTCTCCTTGGCCACTATTCGACTCACCACCGAAATCAAAACCCATAGCTTCCTCACGACTATGTTATTTTTTTTCCCAAATTTTTTCGAGCTAACTCGCGAGCCAACCCTAACCCGGCTCAGGTCGGGTTGGGTTGGATTTTCTGGCTCATTTTTTTTTTTAGCCAACCCTAACCCGACTCATTTTTTTAGGTTGCAAACGGGTTGGGCCGGGTCGAGTCGGGTTGGTCTGTTTTGCCGACCCTAGCCTAGCCTTTGGTCAAATACGGTGCTTCTACTCATACAATCGCAGAGTATTAGCCCTTTTGTCTTAAGGTCATAGGGTTAATCAATCTAATTATCAAATATGATGATCAATCTCTTTCCATAATCGCAATCGTGAATCTGAGATTGATATCCACAATCGCACGATATCAATATGAGTTTGGAAGAGAAACAAATTTGATTCAAAGGAAAAACGCAGATCCTCTAGACTCTTCCATAGGATCCATTACCCTTAGGTTGATTAAAGGGTTCTTAGCCTTACATGGCTAAGGTAAACATAATTCAAAAAATTAAAAAGAAAAGATGAAGAAGAAGAACAGAAAATTGAATTGAAATCTCCAGAGACAATTTGTCGGTCGTACAAACTCTCAAACGAAGATTGCCGACAAGTTTCATAAACGAACCCTTTTAACCCACATCCAAACCGGGTTAGGGTTTAACTGATTTCGGCCCACAATAATAAAAAATAAAAACAGAATTAAAACAAAACAATGGCCTTGGGCCTCAACATAATTAAGTTCTAATTACAAATTTAAATCAATAAAATTCCAGCAACTCGTTTCTGACTTAGGCTCTAATTTCAACCATCTGCTTGTCTGAAATGGGCTTTCAAGTCTGCACAACATTTGTAGCCCTTTGAATTATCTTTAAAACGCAACAAGAACGGAGTCAAGCAGATACCTGTGGAGTGAGATATAGTTAAAATACTAAAGTAACGTAAAGCTGGAAATTAATGACAAAAATAAATTAAACCCAATAAACAATCAAAAATCTAATTTAACCCAAAAGATCATTATTTTCATTTCAAATAATCCTAAAACATTAATCAAGAGTGGTAAATAAATGTAATAAAATATCCATTATCAATTATCATGCATATGGTACTAAGCGCAACATAATTAATAATAAAGCGGAAACTACATTTGTAGTATCACAATTAGTCTCGTGAAAATACGTAATAATTTTTTTTCCCTTTCTTATGTATTGCGTTACAATTCATTTATTTCATGTTTACTCAACATATACTATGTCTTCTAATACCTCACATTTTTTACATTTCGTACTTTACCACCCATAAGTGATGGTAATTAATTACCGAAGCATGGTAATCACCTACCACCTTGGTTAGAAACAAAATGGACAACACCTAGCTGCATTTTAAGGATTTGGAATGCTTCCCAATTTCATATAATAACTTATTGACAATTTATTAAGTTCATGAATAATTCAAGCTATTCACCAGCTTAAACTTAGAATTCATACATAGATTTTCATAAGAGGTTCCGAGCAATCACGTTACATCAATTACTTATTTATACATACATTTTCATGAACATGTCATACGATTTATAAGTACATTATTTGACTATCCAAATTATATAAGTAAATATTCAAATACATAAAGGACATACATGCCATCATTTCAAAACCTTGAATCAAATAATACAAATTTGTCCAAAAATACTTGGCTATAAAAGTGTGCATGGCAATGCAATATAATCCTCAAACACAATATCATATAATCAGATTTTCACACCAAAGAGTCATCATGCTCTATACGGGCTTCTTGCCCTGTGAGGTCCCACCTCTTTCAACTGGAGTACTTGAAATATGAAACTCAAACAGGGTGAGATAAACATCTCAATAAACGTAGGGTTTGAGAGGATTCTTCCTCCTATGAATTCACTTCCTGCATGAAAAGGTTACACATGGCATAAGAGTAACATATATCTAAAGACAAATAGAAATGATTGTAAATGTGTAAACAGTACACTAGGATCCATGCACCCGCAATACACCTTGGATCCGTTGATTGACTTCCTAATCCTGATCCATCAAAGATTTAAAATCAAGATCCATTGATTGACTTCCTTTCATTTGCTCACTTGATTGTTCACTAGTACAAATGAACACAATCACCATAAATTACCAAGCATACTTAACTTGAACTTCAAGAAATCAACACTTTAACATGTTAATTCCAAATTTAAGAATGGTGATACACATCACTAATGTAACACTTTCAAGTATCAATTCAAGCCAAAACACAAGTCTTTAACAATTTTACCACAAGTCAAGAATTATACCCTTAGCTTAATTTACTTAACCCACCAACTAAAAGTTGGCATTTAGAACCTCATAAAGACTCACAAGGCCAACAGAATAACTTACAAAATACAAATAAAAGTCTAACATATTTCAAACCCATTAACTCTATAATGGCCAAATATGTGACCTAGTGATTCACCAAAGAAACTTCATACAAAGTGAGGTTAAATCACTCTAATATACTTGCAATAACCTTCAAACAAACTTCCATCATTCATCACATCATCAATTTACTTCTTGCATTATTTTCTCCAATATGGCCGATTGGCATTCATAGAGGAAACATAAGCTTTTCAAAATTCTTATGACAACTTCACATTTCATTTATCTTCATCCTATTCAAGAGACATCAAATACCTTTAAACATAACAAAACAACACATTTAAGCCATTTCAACTAATGAAGGCCGAATGGCCTCTTTGGAAGTCTCATGAGTTCTCTTCAATCTTCAACTAATTATCACCATTAATATCATCATCTAAGTTAAACAATCCATTATCACTTTACATCAAACATGAGCTACATGATTTTCCCATGATATAGCTGAATATACACATAAGAATTAGGTCATCCTTTTCAAAGTTTTCAACATTTTTCTTTGATAGTTTAACATTTTTAACCAACATTAAGACTAAGACATCATCAATCTCCATCAAACAAGTTCATATAAACTCCTTGAAAAATCATCAAAAATCAAGAAGAACAAAGATTAAATCATGAATTTTAACCATAGAAATTAGGGTTTCATACCTTGAATAGGTTCACAAAGACCTAGAAATCATTCTTGAAACCTTGAACCATGAAAACAACTCTTCTTCTTCACTAAGGCAGATCCTAGGTCGAAGCTCAAAAGAGGAATCAACTCCTCAACAAAATCTAAGGCATAGGTTATGATCACAAGATCATAAGCTTCAAGTTTTGTGAAATAGACTTAGTGCAAAGAGTGACTAGAAATTGAAGAATCAAGCTTGCTCTTTTTCTGAGATGGAGTTCGGTCATGAAGAAGAAAGAAGAAAACAAGAGCTGCATGGAGAAGATATAAAAAGAGCAAGACCAACTTGGAGAAGAAGAAAAGGTAGCTTAATTGCTGAGAAAATCTTTTGTTGACTGTAATCAATTATAACTATTCTTATTGGCTAATAATTTTCCTAACTTTGACTCAAATTTCTTAATTAGTCTAATCATAATTAACATAAATTAAGACCATTTATAACTCATAAATTTGCTAAA